GCCTCTTTGTGCGCTATGCAGCGTAGCTGCGATATCCGTTGCGAAGTGGCAGCGCATTGCTTGGTGGCCGCCACATTTAGCGTCAGTCGCGGATCGAGATCCATGCCGAGAAGCTTCGTAGTTCGCGATGCCCCCATGGTCATGACTGGGATTTGACATCCAGCCACTACCAGGGGCCACTTTCCTTCACGATCATAATCTGACTCCGTGTGCGTGGATAGTGTGAACCAAGCGGCTTTGCACTTTGACGGGTTAATGGCCAGGCCATTTTCCTGACTCCACGCATGCAGTTTTTGAAGAACCATGTTGGCAGTGGGAATGGCGTCTTCGCGGGACTGCCCCTTAACGATAATAGAGAGGTCGTCCGCATACATGTCTGCTGTGACACCCGCAAAGCTGTTCAGCAGATTGAGAAGTGGGTGTGCGTAAAGGGAGAACAAATACGGTCCCAGCACGGACCCCTGAGGAACTCCTCGCAGCATGGGACGCCGATCGCTGTGTCTGTGACCAACTCGTGTCTTCGCGTAGCGACCAAATAGAAAGTTTCTAAGCCACCTTCTACAATTCACCCCCGGAATATTAGCCAGCAAGCGACCGAGGACTCGATGATCTATGGAGTCAAAGGCCTTGCTGAAATCAACCAACACCAGCAGAGTCCGGTGGGGTCTGTAGTGGAGTTGATTGCCAATACCGCTCTTCTTGGGAAGGTTCACTTGGAAATAGTGATTTCTATTATGCTCCACTTCGTGTTTCAGGTGTGCCGGCTGCATCGTCGTGGTACGCATACTACGATATGCATACTGGTGGGGGTGCGGCGTCCACACCCAAAGCAATCTCTTCAGTACCATTTTCTCAGCAACCTTACTCACAATGGAAGTAAGGCTGATGGGTCGATATGACTCAAGCAGTTCCGGTGACTTACCGGGTTTTAAGAGTGGAACGATGGTAGCGCGTCTCCACTCAACCGGAATCGTACCGGTCGTCCAGCTGCGGTTAATGCAGCGAAGAAGGAATCGAAGGCCCTTTGACGAAATATGTCGCAGTGCCTCACTGCAGACTTCATCCGGTCCGGGGCCTTGCCATACGGCGTATTACGTAGCGCAGCAAGCAGTTCCGTTTGATTAAATGGTGCATCGAGAGGGCAGTAAGAAAACCCCTGATGTAAATGTAGAGATCAACTCGTTGCTGCTCTGCTGCCCAAAAAGAAAAGAAGCATTAATGTTCAAAGATGCACTCTGTCTGTTGATGCCTTTGGAAAACCTAACTGCCTTGTGAGAGGGGTGAAATGGAAGAAAGATGCGATTGAGAGCATTCGCTGCTCTCCTTGCTGTTTTATAAGTGTGTTGGCCACCTCCTAATAAAATTGATGTGGGAGATGGCAGTGATGCCTTTTTTCGTCCGGAAATGTATTTCCATGCGAGTGGCTCGCCTGGATTTAACTTGCTGATGCGACGTAGATACGTGTTGCGCAAGCGCTCTCGGAGTAGGAGGAAGAATTGACTCCTTGTCCGTTGCATTTCTGCCTCACGGTCGGGCGTCGGTGACTGTAGATAGCGGGCCTTGCTGTCGGTAGCCATCCGCTCTGCCTCCATGAGAGTGTCGTCCCAAAGCCTGGGACCGTCCTTGTGCATGCCGCGGGGGCAATGCCGTCGATACGAAGTTATAAGCGCTCTCGTGAAAGCCCTAATGCCGGTGGACTGCTTTTTATAGTCGTATGCCGGAAGTTGTGCGTCGAGGTCCTTGATGAATAAATCCCACTTGCACTTCCCCCAACTGTAGAATATCCTAGGTGCCGAAGGTATGGTATCCTTAAACGCCTGATGCAGCGTAAATGTCAGCATATAATGATCACTGAGCGGCGACACGGAAGCTGACCAATCCGACACAGTCAAATGCCTTGACCATGTCAGATCGATACAGGATCGTTCTCTTGTGCCACGGGCATACGTGATCTCACCAGGGGTGTTAACCAAGGTGAGTCCCGCACCCGTGCACAGTTCTAAAAATTCTGCAGCAACCTCGCTTGGAGAAGTCTCCAAGAATGGCTCCCACTGTGGGTGATGCATGTTGAAATCCCCGCACAGCAGGAGCGGCGACGAGGCTGGAAGGCAGTTTACTAACTGCCTGAAGGATTGCGTTACTTGCGGTGGTGGTCTCATATAGGCACTCGCTACAATAAGATCACGGTTCTGGTCCAGAGCAACCTGGACCACCACCACTTCAAGGCTGGTGTCATGCTGGGGGACGGTGAGAGGTATACGCTTGGAGCGGAGAGTTTTCCGCACCAGCACCGCCACACCGCCTCCATTGCCGATGCGCGACTGTGCATAGAGCACATAATCTCCAGTGTGCATGCTGGCGATCTGCTCTGACGACTTCCAAGTCTCCTGGATGGCTATTATGTCTGCTCCTTGCGCCATTAATGTTGCGAGTTTTGACGGCGTGAGGCAAAAAAACGTTCATCTGGAGTACTGCTATGGGGCCTGGGTTCTGCTCAATTTCTCCGCTTAGCGGTAGCTTTTGTTGTTGCGCGTCACATACGGCACGCAAACGGTATGTATAGCGCTGATAAGCGCCGATGGAATTCAGCAGCGGATGAAAATACCGCTCAGCAGACAACCATTACAAATGGCTCCATCTGGTGCCCTTCCGACCCGCTTGTGCGGCGCCTCCTGCCTCTCCGCGCGCAGCGAATGGGCAGCAGGCGCTTGGCCTCCTCCCTAGCAAAGAGTACTGCACCCCGGCACCACGTTGAGGTGGCCGGCTGACCAGAGCGTTGTTGCAGTCTTATTGGTGGTACTATTTGGCATTTTGATCTTCTGATTTGATGTCCGTGCCTTATGATTCTCATCGCCTCGTGTATTTTACTGCGCCCTTTATTTTTCGCATCTGACATACCGGTCGCACCTTGTGTGTGTGTGGAGACTGAGTTGCCAAACCTGCTGGCTCTGGATTATCGCTAGCCGAACTCAGTGACTCTGGCGGAACTCGTGTCTGTCCAGTGATGGCTGTGCCTGCTTCCTTTGGCAAGAAGGTCCTGGACTTCTCAAACCCTCCTCGCTGTCTCTCCCACTCTCTGTCTGTGGCACACCGGTCTCCCCACCATATGGCTGTAATGCACCAGGCATATTTTTGTAGGATCCGGTTTCCCTAGCTCAGGGCTGGGAGGACGGCTGTTATCGTTATTATTGTCTCCTGTCGCCGTCACGCACACGGACGAGCTGCAGCAGCACAAGAGCACAAGGACCAACACGGCGCCGCACCGTCACCATCGCAGTCATCATCGCCCGTAGTGGAGTCGCTGGTGTCAGTCAGCTGATCGGTGAGACGGAAGGAAAAGAATGGAACGAGAGGGAGAGGGACGGAGCACAGCGGATACAGCGAGAGAGAGCAGACAACATGAGGAGAAGGCAGCAGGCCCAGCCGCACAGTCCACACACCACGAGACGACATCCACGCAAGGAAGGCACACAACGCCAGCAGCCACCCACCATGCAGGAGGAGAAGACATCCACCACCATCTCCCCCAGCTCATTCCCGCAGCCCCAGGGAAATGGCAAAACCGCGGCCACCACACAACGCACACGGAGCAAGCGAACCCTCATCCATCCATCACGCGGCACCAAATTTCCTGCCATCCCGTCCTCAATGGGACACGGAGCCCAACTCAGCGCAGTCACACGCGGTGCATCACACCCACAGGAAAATAGACTCGGGCTGGGCTCCCTCCTCCTCATGGCCACGGAAGAATACAACAGACGCCACACGCAACTGCCAGCATGCACTACAAAAGGTGCATTCAAATCCACTGCAATGTGCATCTTGTGTGTGTGTGGTTGTGTGTGCCTGCAGCAACACAAAGCAAAGAAGTAGAAAAGAGGGAGCAGAGTATGTGGAGGGACGCACAAAAATGTACAGCGGGGACGCATAACAGAAACAACAACAAGAAGACCGCTCAAACTCATGACTGCACTGCAGCCCAAGCAGCGGCAATTCACACAATATTTATTGAAAACAAAAAACGTCCCCCTTCGTCTTATGTAAACCCCACCACACAAAATAATTATAAATGAAAAAGAAATCGTCCATTACTGCTCCACACAAATTTAAAATAAGAAAAAGATCGCCTGGCTGCCGTGTGGCCACACCAAACTGTCTGTATGTATTTTGCCCACAAAAGAAAATTAAAAGATGGTTGCGTGTGCTTCGACCGTCTGACCCTCCGTGTGTCCGCACATCGTTTATATTTCATGGGGTCATCCGCGTGTTGCTGCTCCCCTCAGCCCTCTCATCGGCGCGTGAGTGCGGCCCGCAGAGCACAGTCACTCGTGTGTGTGGGGACTGAGAGAAGCACGCAGACATGACGGCAGTCGCGTCACTCCATCGGGAGAGTGAGCGCAGCAAAAGAAAAAGAAATCATCGGAGGGGAGAGAAATGCTCACGAGGCCGACACCGAAGGGTGCGCCACCGCATGAAATAAACACGCAAAGCAAAACAAATCCTTAAAGAAAAACACGGCGGCAGGGTGTGGCTGTGTGTGTGGCGCTGCGGGTGTCTGCCAGCCCTGACCGCAAAGAAAACAAAACAAGAGGGAAAGAAATGTGTGCTCCGCCCCACAGGCCCTCGTCGCACGCCCACACGTCACGGCTCCCTCAGCGCGCCGTTCGTCGCGGCCCCTCCTCATGCGTGCAGCAGGCGAGGCGCACAGGGCCGTCGTCATGAGCGTGTCGGTGGGTGTGCGAGTGGAGCAGTTGGGCGGGAAACACACGGCACCCCTCGCAGGAAGAGTGCAGAAGAAACAATTTAAAGAGGGAAGAGTAGAAAAGAAAACACGTCCATATTGATTGCCCCAAAAGCAAAGAAACGAAATGGGGATATAAAAGCGCACAGGAAAAGCAAACAGGGAAAAGTAAAAAAAAGTTATTAAAGAAGATAAATTAATTACCGTCTGTGTCGGTGCAGGGAGGTCGCAAGTGTCCCACGCGGCAGCCAGTCACTCCTCACAGAGCCGCTAAACCCCACAGTCCCAACAGAAGAAGCAGCGATGGCAGCAGTCCGCTCCCACGCACAGTGCCGGCATCGCTGTTATTCCCCTGCGACACATTTCCGAGACTGCTGTTGAGGGCCGCAGCCTTTACTTCGCCGTCCCGTGCATGGATATCCTCTTTCTCCTGCCCATTAGTTCCTCCCGCCGTCTCCCCATTCTCGCCAGAGTGCGCACCCACCTCAGGTGCCACTGCGGTTCCATCTGGCGCCATGGTTTCAGCGGTAGGGGCATTTGTATCTGCTGTGGCGGAAGTGCCCACTGACGGTTGTTGTGTTTCATCTCCCTGCACCGTGTCTCCAGCTTCAGCATCCACCGTTTGGCCTCCCTCGGACGAAGAATCAACATCCACATTTGGATGTCCTTCGGGATATGTTCCCGACGCTGACTGGTTTTCGGATTTATTGGCTGCTGGGGAATTCTTAGCTGTAGATGCCGCTGACGTGGATAAAACGCCACTCCCCGCATTTTCACTTGTCCTCAACGAATCCTGTTCAGTCTGCTGTTGCCCGCCAAGACTAGACGGAGTTTCGGCTTCCGGCGTAGCTTGTTTACTTGCCACTGGTGGAGTACCCTCCACTGTTTTTGCACCTCTTGCTTTTGGAATAGAAAGTTTTGTGTTAAGCGCAGTAATCTCATCGTCATTCAACGGGCGGTTGTACAGCAGGACGTTCATCACAGTCACAGACACGCCTTCTTGGCTCCCTGCGTCGCCTTTTGCACCTCCATCCCCTCCAATGTAGAAGTGGGAGATCCCTTCTAAATCCGTATTTTCCAATGCACACGCTTCATTCCCACCCACACGCTTACCATCGACGTACGCGGAGCCCTGGGTGCCGTTTCTTAGCAAAATCACGACGTGGTGTGTTGTATTCGTCGCCAAAGTGCGGCTTTGATCCTCGGGGTTTCCGCTACCGCACAGCACCTGCCACTTCTTTTCCTTGTCGTACGAAAGTTCAAAAGTTTTTTTGTTTCCTTCACGACTCAGACGCACACCCATCACAGGGACGCTGACACTCGTCGGCACACCGTGGATGGACACCGTCGCCACAAGAGTGAAGTTGTAGTTCGCAAAGTGGTACGGCTGATTCTCCCCCTGACTGCCAACAGGCCACTCCGCCCACGCACCACGTCCTTTAAATGTCACGCCATTCTCCGCCGGTTCCGCCCCATCTTTCTTCTTCACTGTGGCGTTCACCCCGAGGTACTCGTCCCTCCATGTGTTCTCAGAGAAGTTGCCGGACAAAAAGCCAACCAGCCCATCCGTGATCTTAACAGTATTGCAGGCAGTGGCAGTTGAGGCATCATCCACATCACTTTTAGAAGGGCACAGCTTGGAGACAATGTCGTCCGCTTTCTTCCACGTCGCCAGCACATCCTTCACACGCTGTAGCTGCGCAGTCAGAGGCACAGACCAAAGACTGTGTGATGTTTTCCCACCATCCTTCTTCTTCTCGTACAGTGCAATCAACTCCTCCTTCTCATTATTATCACCACTTTCAGCACTTTTGTACAACAGGGAGCTGGCGGCAGCGTCATCCATCTCGGATACCGGCCCAATATCAACAATGTGCGTATTGTCCGTCAGCCAAAGATGGAGTACGCCCTTTCCATTGCCCGTTTCTTTATTACTGTCCTCCTCGGGATAAACCGGCAGAGTAACGAGCATCACATTTCTGTTATCATCAACACCGTCAATCGTCGCTGTGATGAACCCGCTTCTAACGCCACCTTCGCCCTGTTTGTTGCCCCACACGCGCGAGATTGTCCCGAGTGCCTCCGTCCACGACTCCCCCTTGTCACCGGACTCGTACACCCTGCGGCGGCCATCATCACACGCAGTCATCATCATGAGTTTTTTGTCCTCCTTCCCCCACTCCACGACGGAGGGATCACCGCAGCCACTGTGAGGAACCTCCTTCGACAGCTTCCAACCCCCAGCGTTATCGGAGGAGTATATGAGCAACGAAACGGCCTTTTCATCGTTTGTTGCTTCACCCTCCTTTTTACTCGTGCCTTCCACGGGGAACACAAGCGTATCATCATGCATCTTAATACCCGATCCACCGCCGCCAATCAGTCGTGTCAAAGCTACTTTTTCTTTTTCAACAGTAGAAATGCACGGGACGCCAGAGGTATCTCCCCAAATAATACTGTCACTGCTCTCACCACCAACCTTTCCTTTCACCAGCAAAAGTTCCAATATAGCCGCGTCAGATGCAGTCTCATGAGAAGAAGCGTCATCTGCACTGCTGTAGTTCCCAACAAGCATGTAAATATCATTTTCCTTCACGACTGTTGTCGGTCGGTTCACAATTACTTTCGTTTCGCTTTGGGAAACAGCATGGTCCTCTGGTTGGGAGGCGCATTCCGCTTTATCGGATGGACATTCCACCAGTACTTGTGTCTTCACTTTACTCGCATCCAACTCCTCCTTTGTTTGACTCTTATCCAACGTCAGGAGCTTCGAGGCAATCCCAGTAAAAACCTTGTCATTCTCCGTGCACTGCGCCTTGGCAACGGCAAACACTTTACCATTCACCTCAAGAAGACTGGGAAAATAGAGCGAACCCACTTTTTCTTCTTCTTTCTTATTTCTCCAAACAAAATGATTTTCCGGTGAAGATCCTGGGCCTGGCGCCGGTGCATCAGCTTGCTGATCCCCAACAGCGTTGCAGCACATCATCACAACAAGGAGAAGGAGAAGCAGCGCGGAATTAAACACACGCCGGGACATGTTGAGCCTCTGCGGCTCACTCTCTCTTCCTTCCCTCCTCCTCCCGCTGGATCCGGTCACGCGGCGACGGTTGTGTGCGCGGGGTGCCTTCGCTGCAGCAACACGTGAGAGCATATAAATATGTGTGGGCGGTGTGTGTGTTGTTGGTCCTTTCAGTGCCTTCGAATTTCACAGTAGCGATTAGCGTTTAGCCTTACTTCCTTTCCTTCTTTGTGTTTGAGGAAGAGAAGAGGAAAAGGAGTGAAACAGTGAACACCGCCATCCATCCACAGTGAGTGTCACTATCATCCCCGCCGCAGTCGATCCCAACAACAACAACTCACGCACACAGACACACGGAACGAGAAGGAAGAACAGTGCACCGGGAACACACAGCAACTGCCACCAGCAGTAAAAGCCAAAGCGAGTGCTTCTGTCACGCTTTAGCGCACACGGAGTAACGCCCACACGCACTGCCGCCAGTCGTTTTACTGTTGTCTCTCCCCGCACCATCCATCGCGCATCGCCCCGCACAGCCGGAGAATCCTTCGTCGGTGCATGAAAAGCGGGAGAAACACGTCAAACCGTGCAGCTGCTAGGCTAGAATCCATGCTCAATTTTCCCAGGTACCCTCAATGCCACACCACATTAGTCAACTGCTGCACGCCAAGAAAATCATGCCCTTAGCACGGAAACAAAACAACTTTCGCTGTTTCCTCATCCCTCCTCTCACGAGCCACAGAAAAATCGTGTACGTCCGTGCGTCCTCAGCGTTCACGCCGCTCCATAGCGTATGTGACATGGCGTGTGTGTTTGGCATCGCCTATACTTGCGGAGCAGCTGTGCGTCACAAGAGAGTCTGAAGAAAGCAACGGCAGAGAGAGGCAGATAGCACACACGCAAATTACTCATATCATCACACACACACACGCAGCCGCGGAATGGGTGCACTCAACCACAAAATCAAAAAGGAAAACAAAACAAAAAGCCGAAGCGTGGGGCGACCAGCGCACACACTCTCATTACTCCCGTAAAGCAAAACACACACACACAGGGAGAGAGAGAGGTCGCCCACTCAATGCAATAAAAACAAAACAGAAACAGTTACGGTGCTCCGCCCATGCAGCCAGGCAGGACGGCAGCGGTGCGTGTCGTGCAAAAGAGAGCACCAACGGGCCTGCATGGGTGTGCATGCATATATACAATGGGCACATTATGTGTGTGCCTCGTGGGGTGAGGTGAGGGCGAGAGTCCATGCAAGGGGACACACACAGAGAGTGAGTGAAGGACGAGTGTGTGTGCGGGCGGTGCACGGCTCTCTCTCCCTCACTCTCACGCGGCCACCACCGCAGCCGCACACGCAACAACAAGAAGAAGAAGCAAAAGAGGGGAGGTGGTGTGGGAGACCGCGGTGCTGCCGTCACTGCTGCCAGGTTTTGCCGTACCATCTGTTCTGGCGGTAGCTGCTGCTTTCGCTGTCGGTGGTTTTGTCTCACTGGCTGTGGGCGCAACGTTGGTATGACTGGCTTCGGGGTCGTTGTTTAGCCCTCCGGGGTTGGGCCCTCTGCTGTTGCCGTCATTCTCATCCGCCCTACTCCGGCCATCATCACTGCCACTTGTAGAGATGGATGATGCCGTTACTTCCGCCGGGCTGCCGGTAGGTCCACCCTTCAGATCCGGTAAAACTGTGCCTTGACCCTGTTGCTCTGCCACACCATCTCCAGAAGTAGGTTCCGTCTCTTCAGGCTCCTTTTTGTTTGGTGACGGTGGCGTTTTTGTCCTTTCTTCTGTCAAAGTTTGCGAGTCTGTTTGTGCTGTTGGTTGTTCTCCTACCGTTGCTGGCGCTGACGGTGGTAGTGGCGGGGTGCTGGCGGTGGACATCACGGTGGAAGGACCTTGTGTCTCCGCGTCAATCCGCCGTTTCTCGTTTCCAGTTGCGGCCCTACTAGCAGCTTCACTTTCTGGTTTCTCGTTTACTGGGGAAGTCTTCTTGTGCTTCGGGTGTTGACTTCGCTGGTGCCGACAATTCGGGCAATTCGTTCCGTGCACGATTTGCTCCTGACTGCTCACCTGCTTCTTGGGGTTTCCCTCCCTTTGTGGATGCCGCAGCGCCGGTCTTCTCCAACGCATCACTCTCGTCGGTGATGGAGGGTGGGGAATTACCACCAGCAACAGGAGCGCTCAAAGATGCATCACCACCTGGACTGCCAACATCAGGTTGACTGCGACCACCAGAAGAAAAGGAGCCCAAAATGAAGCCTTTGCTTCCGTCAGAACCTACACTTCCTGTAGGAGCCCCAGGAGAACTGCCACCATCACCGAGAACAGGAGATGGGGACTTGACATCCGAAGCAGGGGACTTCAAAGAGCCATCAACAAGTGCTTTAGAACCTCCATTTGAGCCACCACCACCGCCAACAGAAGCTTTGCTGCCACGAGCTTGACTGCCACTGGCACCTCCAACGCCAACAGGACCGCCAGCACCGTCGTCTCTACCGCTTCCACCTTCACCTCCGCGACCAGGAGGGAAACCGGCACAACCGAAATTAACACATGAATTTGGAGCTAAATCTGATTTATTTTCTGCTGTACCAGTCACCAATGGGTCAGTCGAAGCTTCAACGGCAGCGATGGACAAGACAGATCGTAAAGGCAGCGTCAGCGCCGTTTTTTCGCATCCGCTCGGCGTATACGATTTATTCGTATTCAACACCCACGACGCCATGCAGCCACCAACTGCGTTGTTCCCGAGATTACTCGCAACAGCCCCGCCGGCACCGCACCACAGCACGCAGAGGGCACACACCAGCAGCACACAGCCAGTCATCATCGCCATCACTCCTGTCACTTGCGTGTAGCCTTCAGCACAAAATAACAACACGTCAACGCAGAGCGGAAGCAAAAATAGAGACAAGTCACAAATCACGCACAGCCACAGCACAATAACAAATGGCAGCAGCCCATCAGCGGCAGCGCACACACACCATGAGGCAGTTGAAAGCAGTGAAAGGGCAAAAACACACACAACGCCCCGCAGCAAGTATACAGAGAAAACACACGAAGCAATTAAAAACAAAACACAGGCAAACAAACAGCAATGAAGTAAAAAATGTAAAAACACACACAAAACAAAGACTGCACAGCATGGCTCCAGCGCGCACGCGCCCATCCTCAAATCTAACTCCACGCAATCAGTTGTGTGCGTGCCGTGCACATCAGTGTGGCTGCGATGCGTTCAACGTGACGGATGTGGGGAAGCAAAATGGAGCACACAGCAGAGCAGCGGAAGCAAGTGAAGCAAAACACAATCATTATTTTATCCTATTTGTTTACATCGCAGCACAACACACGCGCACAAATTCCCGTGGCTGAGTGCTGGCACGCACAGCCCGCACACACCTCTTCAGCCCACAGCGGTGTACGCCAGCGCGGATACGGCGAGCAGCAGCGGGGCACACACCCACGCAGAGCTGCTGAGGCTGCCGTCGATTTCGCGAAGACGCGACGGTGCGCTGGTCGTCGTCGTGGTTGGCGCCTCTGTAGTCGTAGTTGGTGCCTTTGTTGTAGTGGTTGTTATCGTTGTTGGTGCATATGTTGTAGTCGTCGTGGTCTTCTCGGCAGGATCTTCGGCTTCCTGATTTGCTTCTTCTGCGGATTGTCTCGTGCCGATTTCTGGTACTGGAGTACCGTCCGTATCATGATTTTGTAACGTGTTAGACACGCCAACTGATTCCGGACCTGCAGCGGTCGAACTTGGTCCCGCTCCGGCATCTCTTCCCTGTTCCGCACCGGACTCCTTACTTGGCGACCCTGAGTTACCGATCTCCTTACGTGGCTCCTCTGGTACAAGGGACTGTGGACTGGCGGCGACAGGAGCTTTAACTTCAGTATGCTCAGTAGGCGCTGCCGCGCACACGGACAGGCAGCAGCACAGGGCGAGTACCAACAGGGCGCACAGAAGACGGCACGTCATCATCGTGAGTGTGGTCGTTCAGTGGTGTGGAGCTGATCTGCAAAGTGAGGGACATGGAGAGCAACAGGGGAGACGAGAGGTGCGGCACACCACACGAGGAGAGGGCAGCAGCCAGGCATGCACCGTACGGCACACACATACAGCCCTGCCACAACACCAACACACAGATGGAGGAGGGAGAAGCAAACAGGAGAGGCACACAAGGCTCCACCGCATGCACATACGGCGAGAGCGGTCCGTCGTGTCGGCACCCCTCACGGAGGGTGCACGCACACACAAGAGGAGGTGCAGCGCACACAGCAACACAAAAGCAAAGTAACAATAAAAAAGAGAAGATCCCCGCACACCACGTGAATTACTGGTCCACGGGAAGTCTAGCCAATATTCATCACAAAAGCAACTCAGTTGCCCTTGGCCTTCGTTAATATTCAGCGCAAGGAATGGAAGAGTGCAGAAAACTATTTATTTGTGTTTCTGTTTGGATGTTGGCAGATGTCCGCGTATCTTTTTTTCCTTTTGTTTTTTTCAGAGGGCAAACCTTCATGTCTGCATCGTGTGTTGGTAATTTCTGCAGGGTGCACAATTATTTTTTCCTCTTCTGAAGTTTTCTTGTGTTGGTGCAGCCAATAATTCGGTTTGTGTTGTTCCTGCCTTTCGCTGGTAAAGTGCTGCAATAGATGTTTGTGTTTCCTTTCGTTGCCGTGGCACCTGATTCCTCACCGTTTATTGCGGTGGAAATGAAAATATGTGAGTGGACTCCCACACACCAGAGCGCACCTTCGCTCCTATTTATTGGTGCATGGAAGGGCATGTGTGTTTGGTGGTGTCTCGTCCATATATTTCGTGGGCGTACATTCCCCTGCAGGCTGAGGACGGGACGACGCTCCGTCGCGGTGCACTTCCCTCGCATGCCGCCCACTGTGATTCATCATGCATCACCCCCTCACACATTCCGTGGTGCCACACCGCTGATATTATTGCAGCCGCTGTGATTCCGCGTATTTCACGCGTTTGATTGTGCCACAATACATCCGCTCGTGTGGCCTCCGCATCCAAACAGCGGTGCCCAACACAGTGAGCGGCAGTCCACATCCTTGCATGCCCCAACGCTGTGGTGTTTGACTGTCAGCCAGGCGTCAGACAACAGGAGAGTCTTGTGCTGGCAGTACAACACACGGAGCTACAGCGAATGACTCGGGCGGCGACGCATCTATTTGTCGCAATGCAGTGAAAAGGAGTCGGGCAAAATAATGCCGGCTGCACTCACGACACCATATCCACAGCCAAAGCATGCGACGTGATGTGTGTTTCACAGGTGCTGTGAAATGCCTGCAGACGACGTCGCTAGTGGAGGCATGCCACCCATGATCAGCGGACAGACAATAATCGGCATGGGAGGCCACAAAAGTCAGAAACGATGCCAGCAGCAGGAGCAGCTCTCTCTCTCTCTCTCTCTCTCTTTGTTGCCTCCGAGAAGTAAATATTCCACCAGCCACAGCCGACTGTGCCATCGTGATGCTCCATGCACGTCGTGGCTGCGTCAACACATCCTGTTCCCTGCAGCGCCTCAAAAGATGCCTCACTCCGTCCACTGAGTGCATCGATGCGGGCCCTGCCTGGGCCGTTCGTGAGGACCGCATCAATGCAAGGGTCACCGAGTCGCAGTATGTTTGTTGTGACGTTGTTGCATGGCACCCGCATACACACACACGCAGCGCCTGCATCCCTCCCTTTTGTGTCCGCCCTCCGCCGGAGTGGCCACACACACGGGCAGCAGCAAAATCACTTCTCCCTCGACAATCCAAAATCAACACCGACATCCCTCGCAACGCAAAGATCTCAGTTGCCAGCACGGGCCTCCTGCCGCTCTGCCATCGACAAAGAAACACGGCACAGTGCACGCACTTATTTTCCTCGTGTGCAGTCAGCCGTTTGCTTCACACATTCTCCGACGGGCTGACGTCCACAAAAGCACGCCACAAAAGGCCACCGTGATCGCGCAAGCTCTTGCGATGAGCGTCGGTGTGTGCATGGATCGCTGCCCACACGTGCTGGCAGGCAGCCTGCAGCCGGTGCCCTCGTGCCATTTCATCGGCTCCAGCACGGAAAAGAGAAAGTGGCCTATTCCCGATGCACTTATTCCCACCAGCAGCACCAACACGCTGGTCGCCAGCCGTCATTCCTCAGCACATCCAGGAATGCTGAAAAGTGACGTGGAACTGTCAGCCAGCAATGCCGCAATCCCGCACACATGTCGGCTCCACCAGAGACGACACACAAACCACAAAAAACCCCCCCCACATGATTTCCGAACATCATTCCGACACACCGCGACACGCCAAACAGAAGTATTCGTCACTCCATGCACCTCCCCACACAATCACATAGTCCATGCACCACGCACGGCAGCAGCCCACACGCGGTCAAAAAAATGTTCCTCGGATCGGTGTTATCCGCGTGCCGCAGTGGGAAGTAAACAAAAGAGACAGCTGTCAAACCCCAAAAGGGTGCCACGACTGGCCGAAATTCAACGGAACGCTGCCACTCAAATGAATTCAGTCCTCATGCCCTCAGCCTCCCACCTTCCCCCACAAAAGCTGCCAACCAAACGTGACGTCCAATAAATTCGCTTTGCAAAAAAAGGAGAAACCGCAGTGCCTCATGCTGTCATCCGAGATGTTGTTTGCTGATTAATGCGGTAGGCACTCACCTTCTCCTCAAAACGACGCTGTGCGCCTGCAACGCATTCTTCAGAATCGCAAGTCTCCAACCAGATCGGGAATCTCCTACGCGCCTTCGTCACACACCAAAATGCAAATGAAAAAACAATGCTTTAGTTGGACTGCGATGCGGACCGTGCCACGCCGCCATCAGCTGCGGCTGGGTGCAGAGGCTGGTGCGACCCAGCACACCACGCGATCCCTTCTGGTTGGGTGCGTCCACAGTGCGTTGCACGACGGCGACGAGGCAATCGCACCGTGTCCGGCACCCGTTCACCTCCACAGCCTGGAAGTGCGGCACGGAGACAGCTGCACAGCATCGCTCGGTCCACGCGCATCAAAGAAGGATACTTCTGTCCACCTGGCCGCCAATCCAGCACCGCTGCGGAGGACCATTGGGTTCCGCGCACCCACACAGCACGAACGTCTTACACTTTTTCGATGTATTGAGGATTTGCGTGGCGCAGTCTGATTGGAGACCATGCCACCGTCCATGCATGAAAAGCGGCGACATCGATTCCGCTCCCGAGAGATGCTGTTATTAATGAGTTACACCGCGTATTTAATATTATTGGGATACCCCACAACCACATTCACGCTCCTCCTATTTAACATCGTATTTTCCCCTGGGACAATGTGAGCTGCAATAAAGTGGAATTTTATCACCCACGCTTTGCCCAAGACGCCTATGATGACGTCAAGCGCACGGCTCTTGATTCTATTTACTCCTCTCTGGGAGCGTATGATTTTGAATTATGGACAGACGTTTCTTCATCTCTCACCGAGCTCGCATCTGGATCCGCTACACTATTGTATGGCTCCACCACGACAAATGATCTCCCTGTGGAGGTCCATCGTGCAGCAGCTGGCAGGCTCGCATACTCATATAGGGCAGAGTGCCTTGCCACTGAAAATGGCATTAGACATCTCATACCTTTTTGTCTGGAAACATCCCAATCGCCCACACGAATCCTGGTGGCAACGGACTCCCCGTCGGCAACTGAGGCACTCCGCGCTGCCCCACTGGCCATGCGAGACCACGTCACTGAAGAGAGTTGGATTATGCTGCTCTCCTTGATGCAGCGAGGTCACTCTGTAAACTTCATGTTCTCTCCATCGCACTGCGGTATCCCATGCAATGAGGCCGCTGACGACGAGGCCATGATTGCACGATCCCTCCCGCAGGAGGGCGGCCCAATCTGGCACGTGGACTTTTTTACTGCAGTCGGGTGGCCGTACTGGAGGGATGCCCAGGAGAAAGGAAGGCGCGCACACCGCGTGACAGGCGCCTGTCGGTGTGGCAGGAACTCTATTCCTGGCACGACCCGGACATCGCGCCCCGAGTGGCGGCTCTGCGCGCGGGCACGGTGCGATTCCTGCCCACTCCTCGACATGCCTGCGCGTGCCCTTCGTATCACAAATAACCCTCTGTGTTGGTGATGCCGTCCCTCCCTCACTGAAGTGACCGGCCCGCCGCTGCCTCCGCCAGAACCTCTTCCCGACGTGAGCACCGCAAATCCTTGTCGACCAGCGAGCGGCGGATTGATTTCCTCCTGCCCAACCTGCAGCATAGTCTGCGCTCGTCCGTCCACAATATGAGGGCGCATGCCCGACGTGCTCAGCCTGGCGTTCCGATAGTTTGCGAAGGCCTATGATGCGGATGCCACAATAGTGCCACCGTCTTCTTAACAGGCGCCTCGCGCACAGGTCGCCACAGAAAGTGCCAAGCATGCCAGCAGGCAAGGCACGCAGGAAGCACAAACGCAGGTACTCGAGACGGACCACGAAAGACTCCGCTTCATCCACTGCAGAAATGCCCCCGTCGTTGGTAATTGGGAATGCGAGTGTTTTGGAGCGCCCCAGCCCGCACGACGGCTCGTTTCGGACGGAATGCTTGCCATTTTTGTGCGGACGGCCATTGCGCTACTCACCGTTATTGTAACAGCATACAGCAAAACAAGATAACAAGTTGCGTTGCGATGAATGTTGGCTGCGATTCCCGTGGACCAGAAATTTATCTGGTGTGCGGGGATCTTCTTTTTTTATTTTTACTTTGCCTTTGTTTTGCTGTGTGTGCTGCACCTCTCGTCTCCCCTGTTGCTCTCCATGTCCCTCACTTTGCAGATCAGCTCCACACCACTGAACGACCACACTCACGATGATGACGTGCCGTCTTCTGTGCGCCCTGTTGGTACTCGCCCTGTGCTGCTGCCTGTCCGTGTGCGCGGCAGCGCCTACTGAGCATACTGAAGTTAAAGCTCCAGTCGCCGCCAGTCCACAGTCCCTTGTACCAGAGGAACCACGTAAGGAGATCGGTAACTCAGGGTCGCCAAGTAAGGAGTCCGGTGCGGAACAGGGAAGAGATGCCGGAGCGGGACCAAGTTCGACCGCTGCAGGTCGGAAATCAGTTGGCGTGTCTAACACTTTACAAAATCATGGTACGGACGGTACTCCAGTACCAGAAATCGGCACGAGACAATCCGCAGAAGAAGCAAATCAGGAAGCCGAAGATCCTGCCGAGAAGACCACGACGACTACAACATATGCACCAACAACGATAACAACCACTACAACAAAGACACCAACTACGACTACAGAGGCGCCAAGTGCTACGGCCAGGAATGCAGAGGCGCCAACCACGACGACGACCAGCGCACCGTCACGTCTTCGCGAAATCGACGGCAGCCTCAGCAGCTCTGCGTGGGTGTGTGCCCCGCTGCTGCTCGCCGCATCCGCGCTGGCGTACACCGCTGTGGGCTGAAGAGGTGTGTGCGGGCTGTGCGTGCCAGCACTCAGCCACGGGAATTTGTGCGCGTGTGTTGTGCTGCGATGTAAACAAATAGGATAAAATAATGATTGTATTTTGCTTCACTTGCTTCCGCTGCTCTGCTGTGTGCTCCATTTTGCTTCCCCACATCCGTCACGTTGAACGCTTCCCAGGAACGCTCATATGCAAGTACACTGGAGTCTTGGATTTGTTTTTTTTTTTATTTTTGTTTTCTTGCTTTTTAATCTTGTGGTTTTCAGTGCGGCGTGCAATTTCTGCAATCATGCTGATCCAAACTTTCTCGTCCTGTGTGCTCTGCAGCTGTGTACTCTGTGGTGTAGGCGTCGTGACTCTCATTGCTGGATGGGACGGTGCGTGTTACTGTGTGACTTGCCTCTCCTTTTGCTTTCACTCTGCGTTGACGTGTTGTTAGTTTGTGCTGAAGGCTGCACGCAAGTGACTGGAGTGATGGCGATGATGATGACTGGCCGTGTGCTGCTGGTGTGTGCCGTCTGCGTGCTGTGGTGCGGTTTATCTGGAATTGCGACCGACGGTGTTGGCGGTGGCGATGGCAGTGCGGATGAGGACTTACTGTTGCAGTGGCGTGCTTGGCTGCGGAGGGAATGCGCGGAGGAGGTCAGCAGGAGGACAGGAGGCAGGGAGAATGCGTCTGTTGTTGAGGAATGCGTCCATCAGGGGATGGACGGTGTGCGTGCCGTTGTGGATGGCCGTCGTCGTTGGAGACGTCAACGGATTGTTGTTGCTGCTGCTGCTGCTGGAAACGGGGATGTCAGCACGGACAAAGATGGCCAGGCAAGGAATAAAGAGGTTTCACCACCCGAAATAAAAGATGAAAAGCCAGTGGCTTCAGGACAAGAATCAACAGATGCAACAAGAGGAAAGGACCAGACGACACAGAATACTTCAGCTGCTATTGTGTCGCTTAAAAAACTAATTTCTGGAAAAAAAAAACAAGAAGAAGGTGAGAGAATGACCGAGAAAGAAGATGGAGACAACGAAGATGAAGAAGTGGAGGACGAAGCGAAGATACGCGAAACAACACCGGTAGTACCACCGCCAACAGCAGCAGCAGGAGGAGGAATAAAACCACCATCTGGTGCTTCTGGTCCTGCTGCCCCTGGCGCCATTCTCACTTCGCGGTCCTCTTCTGGTGTTGATTCTTCATCCCGCATCGGTGACGAAGGGTCCACCGTCGGTATTTCACCCAATGCAGTTGGGAAGCCTTCAAGACAAGATAAGGTACCAGAAGCAGAGGAGAGTCAACACGCCCAGCGACACGACGGAGTGGCAGCAGATACACTCAACAACGGACCGGAACAAAACGGTTCTGCTCCAACAACGGGTCAGAATGAAAACGAGGTCGCCACGTTGGGTGCCGGTGGTTCACGCTCTTCGAGAGAACAAATAACGGTAAAAGGGGGTTCAGAAGCTTCCCGAACAGACGAATCGTCAGCTGATCCAAATACAAAATTACAAGAAAATGAAAAGACTCCACTGAAACCATCACAAGCAGCAGCGACAGAACCAAAAACTCAGCACGAAGTATTGACGTCAGTAAAGGAGGAGACAAAGAGCAAGAGCACGGATGCATCAGCGAATTTACCTGATGCGCCCAAAAGCAGTGAAGAACATCCTGCATCCGCAGCCACTACAATGCAGAGTACATCAACTGGCAGTCAAGAAGCAGCAGCTACGCCGTCTTCAAATAGAATCTCTTCACTTCACGAGGAAACGACCACTGGAAATAACATTACTGAGAATGCTCAACCTCCGAAGGAAACACCCGTCGAAGGCACGGCCATGAAAACTACAACGGCGACGACTGGCGACAGTGACGGCAGCACCGCGGCCTCCCACACCACCTCCCCTCCTTTGCTTCTTCTTCTTGTTGTTGCGAGTGCGGCTGCTGCTGCGGTGGTGGCCGCGTGAGAGTGAGGGAGAGAGAGCCGTGCACCGCCCGCACACACACTCTTCCTTCTCTCTCTGTGTGTGTGTGTCCCCTTGCATGGACTCTCGCCCTCACCTCACCCCACGAGGCACACACATAATGTGCCCATTGTATATATGCATGCACACCCATGCAGGTCCGTTGGTGCTCTCTTTTGCACGACACGCACCGCTGCCGTCCTGCCTGGCTGCATGGGCGGAGCACCGTAACTGTTTCTGTTTTGTTTTTATTGCATTGAGTGGGCGACCTCTCTCCCTCTCCCTCTGTGTGTGTGTTTTGCTTTACGGGAGTAATGAGAGAGTGTGTGCGCTGGTCGTCCCACGCTTCGGCTTTTTGTTTTGTTTTTCTTTTTGATTTTGTGGTTGAGTGCACCCATTCCGCGGCTGCGTGTGTGTGTGTGTGTGCGATGATATGAGTAATTTGCGTGTGTGCTATCTGCCTCTCTCTGCCGTTGCTTTCTTCAGACTCTCTTGTGCTGAACGGCTGCTCTGCAAGTATAGGCGCTGCCAATCACTCACAGACATGCCGTGCTGCGCACGTTAAGGAGCGGCGTGAATACAGAGGACGCACGCACACGATTTTTCTGTGACCCTTGCGAGGAGGGATGACGGGAGAACGCGATTTGTTTTGTTTCTGTGCTAAGGGCATGATTATCTTGGCGTGTAGCAGTTGACTAATGTGGTGTGGCATTGAGGGTGCCTGGGATAAGTGCGTATGGATTCTTGCCCGGCAGCTGCACGTGCCGACGTGTTTCTCGCGCTGTGGATTTGCCGACGAAGGATTCTCTGGCTATGCGGGACGATGTGCGATGGAGGATGAGGGGAGAGACAACAGTAAAACGACTGGCGGCAGTGCGTGTGGGCGTTGCTCCGGGTGCGCTGACGCGTGACGAATAGCGACGAACCCTCCGTGGCTTTTACTGCTGTTGGCAGTCGCTGTGTGTTCCCGGTGCACTGTTTTTCCTTCTCATTCCGTGTGTCTGTGTGCGTGAGTTGTTGTTTTTGTTGGGAGTGACTGCGGCGGGGATGATGGTGCCACTCACCGTGGATGGGTGGCGGTGTGTTTCACTTCTTTTCCCTTTTCTTCTCTCTCTTTCTCACACACAAAGAAGGAAAGGAAGTAAGGCTAAACTCTAATCGCTACTGTGAAATTCGAAGGCACTGAAAGGACCAACAGCACACACACCGCACACACACACATATTTATATGCTCTCACGTGTTGCTGCAGTGAAGACACCCCGCACACACAACCGTCGCCGCGTGACCGGATCCAGCGGGAGGAGGAGGGAAGGAGGAGAGAATGAGCCGCAGAGGCCCAACATGTCGCGGCATCTCTTCTACTCTGCGGTGCTGCTTCTCTTCGTCGTGATGATGTGCTGCGGCAGTGGTGTGGCTGAGCAAGCTCCGGAGCAGCCATCGCAAAAAAAGTTTAAATGGAAGGACATCAAGGGTGAGGGTGGTGGTGTAACTGTGGAATCGTTGGGTGCTCCCGGTCTTCTAAAAGTGGGAAGTGACGTATTTGCCGTTGCCGAGGCGCAGTGCAAAAAGAACAGTGAAAGCGTCACCGTTACTGGCATTGCTTCCCAAATTATCACTACACAAACTGCTAACACACCGGTTGAAGTGCTAAATGGAGCCGAAGATAAGACACAATTTCTGGAGGAAGAAGGTTCCGCAGACCCAAAGAAAGTGGATGTGAGCCGACCAACAACAGTTGTGGAGGGAAATGATATTTACATGCTTGTTGGGAAATACAGCCAGACAGCTGTTGTTGGTCCTCCGAAGAATGGTGCCGAGAACTGGGGATTCTTGCTGGTGAAAGGGAACGTCAGTGAAGAAAGTGGCAAAAGAATCCAATGGAATGAGAACCAGCGACTGGTCGGCACCTTTTCTGCTGATGAACACAAATGCTTGACGCAGCTGATTGGCAGCGGTGGATCGGGTGTTCGGATGGAGGACGGTACGATTTTGTTCCCAGTGGAAGGCACGAAGAAGAAGGGTGACGCACAAAAAGATGAAAAGACCGTTTCGCTGCTCATATACACTTCGGAGGATAACGCTGCAAATTGGAAGTTATCGAAGGAGGTTACTGACGGTGGCTGCAGTGATCCCTCCGTCGTGGAGTGGGGAGAGAAGGAGGACAAAAAACTCATGATGATGACTGCGTGTGATGATGGCCGCCGCAGGGTGTACGAGTCCGGTGACAAGGGGGAGTCGTGGACGGAGGCACTCGGGACACTCTCGCGCGTGTGGGGCAACAAACAGGACGGAGAAGGGAAGGCCGTTAGAAGCGGGTTCATCACGGCGACGATTGGCGATGATGATAAGAAAAATGTGATGCTCGTCACTCTGCCGGTGTATTCCAAGGAGGCTGATACAGGAGGCAATGGAAAGGGAAAACTCCATCTTTGGCTGACGGACAATGCGCACATTGTTGATATTGGGCCGGTATCCGGAGAAGTGGACGATGCTGCCGCCAGCTCCCTGTTGTACAAAAGTGCTGGAAGTGGAGACAAGAAGAAGGAGGAGTTGATTGCACTGTACGAGAAGGATGATGGGAAACCATCACACAGTCTTTGGTCTGTGCTTCTGACTGAGCAGCTGCAGCGGGTGAAGGATGCGCTGGCGACGTGGAAGAAAGTGGACGATCGTGTCTCCAAGCTTTGCCCCTCTAAAAGTGATGTGGATGATGCCTCAACTGGCGATGCCTGCAGCCCTACTGTTAAGATCACGGATGGGCTGGTTGGCTTTCTGTCCGGCAACTTCTCTAATAAGACATGGAGGGACGAGTACCTCGGGGTGAACGCCACAGTGGAGAACAATGGTGCAGAGGATGACGGGGCGGAACCCGCGGAAAATGGTGTGAAGTTCCAGGGGGCGTGGGCGGAGTGGCCTGTTGGCAGTCAGGGGGAGAATCAGCCGTACCACTTTGCGAACTACAACTTCACTCTTGTGGCGACGGTGTCCATCGACGGTGTGCCGACGAGTGGCAGCGTCCCTTTGATGGGTGTGAAGATGAATGACAGCGGGAAGACTGTACTCCTGGGACTGTCGTACAACGGCGGAGGTAAGTGGGAGTTGTCTTGCGGTGACGAAACGCCTAAGGAGCTTAAGAGCGCTTTGGAGCCAGGGAAAACACGCCAATTGGCCATTGTGCTACGGAACGGCACCCAAGGCTCCGTGTATGTCGATGGTGAGCGTGTGTGTATGGGTGAGCAACGTGAAATGAGGGACGCAGAATTGAAAGAGATCTCCCACTTCTACATTGGAGGGGATGGAGAAAACGCAGACAGCAAAGACGTTTCTGTGACTGTGACGAACGTCCTGCTGTACAACCGCCCGTTGGATGACACTGAGATCGCCACCCTCAACCCGAACAAAGCTTCTACTCCATCTCAGGTGAATGAGCCTTCTCAGGGAACCGCGATTCAGCCTCCTGGTGGCCAAGGAAAGGAGGAACAGAGACAATTGTTGGGGAGCAATGGTGTGAACGGTGTATCCGCATCAACAGTGTCCAGTGCCACGACTTCCTCAGGAGAAGAGGGGCCTGCAACCCCGTTGGCGTCAGAAGAATCTTTCGATGTAATTAAAAATGTGGATGGCGGTTCTTTTTCTGATGGCGACCCAACGGTGGAGACGGCGGAAGGAACGGATGGGCAGAAGGAGGAGATCCATGCACAGAACGGGGAAGTGAATGCTGCAGCACTCAGCAGCAGCCTCGGAAATGTGTCGCAGGGGAATAACAGCGATGCCGGCACTGTGCGTGGGAGCGGACTGCTGCCACTTCTTCTTGTTCTGTTGGGACTGTGGGGGTTTGCGACTCTGTGAGGAGTGACTGGCTGCCGCGTGGAACACTTGCGACCTCCACTGTACAGAATTACTTCCAAGAACTAACTTTTTCCTTAAGATAATTTTCTTTTATTGGTTTCAATTTGTAATTCATAATTTTTTTTCCGTTATTAATTTTCGTCTGTCTTTTTCATTTTGCTCCCCCATACCTTCTTTCTTTTTTGCTTTTGGGGGCAGTCACTATGGACGTTTTTTCTTTTCTACTCTTCCCTCTTCTAATTGTTTGTTGCTGCACTCTTCCTGCGAGGGGTGCCGTGTGTTTCCGCCCAACTGCTCCACTCGCACACCCACCGACACGCTCATGACGACGGCCCTGTGCGCCTCGCCTGCTGCACGCATGAGGAGGGGCCGCGACGAACGGCGCGCTGAGGGAGCCGTGACGTGTGGGCGTGCGACGAGGGCCTGTGGGGCGGAGCACACATTTCTTCCCTCTTGTTTTGTTTTCTTTGCGGTCAGGGCGGGCAGACACCCGCAGCGCCACACACACAGCCACACCCTGCCGCCGTGTTTTTCTTTGAGGATTTGTTTTGTTTTGCGTGTTTATTTCATGCGGTGGCGCACCCTTCGGTGTCGGCCTCGTGAGCATTTCTCTCCCCTCCGATGATTTCTTTTTTCTTTTGCTGCGCTCACTCTCCCGATGGAGTGACGCGACTGCCTTCATGTCTGCGTGCTTCTCTCAGTCCCCACACACACGAGTGACTGTGCTCTGCGGGCCGCACTCACGCGCCGATGAGAGGGCTGAGGGGAGCAGCAACGCGCAGATGACCCCATGAAATATAAACGATGTGCGGACACACGGAGGGTCGGACGGTTGAAGCACACGCAACCATCTTTTTAATTTTCTTTTGCGGGCAAAATACATACAGACAGTTTGGTGTGGCCACACGGCTGCCAGGCGATTTTTTTCTTATTTTAAAATTTGTGTGGAGCAGCAATGGACGATTTCTTTTATTTATAATTATTTTGTGTGATGGGGTTTACATAAGACGAAGGGGACCTTTTTTTTTTTTTTTTTTTACTTTTTTATCATTTGGGTGTTGCCGTAATAAAGGACGACATTTTTCATTTTCTTTTTTTTTCTTTTTTTTCTTTCCAAAGTGTGAGGGGTGGAAGGGTGAAGATGATTTTTTAT